CGGTGGTGGCTGCTGCTGTGTTCCACAGCCAGGAAACAGCTTGTGAACAGGTGCCAACACCTGCTTCACTCTGGGCCAACAATAAAGAGAGGGGCAGGTAGATGGCGCACAGCCTCAGCTCTCATCTGTCTGCAGTGACTTGCTGCTTTTGCAAGGAGCCATGGTCTTATAGTCAAAGGGGTGCTTTACGTTTAGGATGAAGTCATTGCAGAACGGCCACAGCCTGGTAAGTTAGAGACTCCCAGAGAACAGCCAGAATGGCCTAAGCCCGGCCTCTGAGCCCCCAGGTGCATGGGACTTCATAGATAAAGCGGGAAAGGCAGGTACTACCTGAGGAATGGAACCTCAGACTTAGTAATTAAATGGCTTGATTTGGGACCTGCAGTTGGCCTAATGGCTATGTCGCTGGACTCCCTTGTAGTCAACTGCGGTTTGAGTCCTGAACCTGGTGGCGTAAACTCATGACAGGCACGTGTGTGTGCATGCCCAAGATCCCAGGAGGAGAACAGAGGAGAAGGGATTGCGGCATGGCCATCCCTCCTGGAGGGTGATTTTTTTGCTTTCTGTGTCTCTCTGTCTTTCTGGTGAGCACATGCACCCTATCGCCAAAAGCTCTCCACAAAAAAAAAAAAAAAAAAAAAAGAGGCTTGATTCAATTCTGATACCATTTGCTATCAACCTGACCCAGGTAAATCTAGTTCTTGGCGAGCCTGTTTCCTCACCTGTAAAATATCAGTAATCCACTTGCCTAGCTTACCACCTGCAGGGAAACGGGTACGGGTAAGAAACAGAGTCATGCCTGGGGTAGGAGTTCACTGGAAATTTTCCTTCCTATTTTTATCCAAGAGGGCAGAACAAGGATCAATGATGGAAAATCGCGGGGAAAGAGATCTTAGACTTCTGTTCCCGCACGTTAACAAGTTTCAGCAAGGTCTGCAGGGGGCTTCCTGCACTGGGAGTACCACACAGATGCCACATGACAATTTGGCAGAGACGATGCAGAGGACTCTCGGGTATCACGTGATCATCTGGGCCACCCTGACATCACCTCCACCCTGACTCTCTTAATTCTCATAGGAGGTGCCTGGACTCTCACTAGGCATGATTTGCTCACATTTTCTGGGCACCTGGCCTGCAGAGCCCTGGCCGTGAGAGGCTTACTGACAATGGGGTTCTAGGGAGGGTGGAAATAAGATTTATCAGAAAGTCTGGATACCAGAATTCTAGTGCAATGGCCGATAAATACAACTTTCCCCCTGTCCCCTCTAACCTGGTCCTTATTAGCTTACATAGATGCTTAGGCTAAAACCTTGACAATTTTCTTAAACATCCATACGTAAACTGGTTAGGGAATCCTGCTGGCTCTCCCTTCAAAACATACCAAGAACTCGATGACTTTTCATCACCCTCACTGCTCCGCCTTTGCCCAATTTACTGTCATTTCTCAGGGGGAGCTGGTGTAACAGTTTCTTTCTTGTCTCTGTTTCCACCACTTGCCCTCCAGTACACACACAGTCTGCCTTTCAGGTAGCAGCTACAGCTGGGGTTCTCAACCCTGGCACCATGGACATTTGGGGTTAGACAGGTGTCGTGTGCACTGTGGATGTTTAGCAGCACTCATTGGCTTCTACCCAGTGGGTGCCAGTAGTACATTCGAACTGTGACAACAAAACATCTCCAGGCAGTGCCAAGTATTCTTTGGGCGGGGAGGAAGGCAATCACCTGTGGTTGAGAACCACTGAGCTGAAGGGATCCATTTAAAAGAAGTTGGATCATGGGACCAGCAGTTAGTGTAATGGCTATGTTGCTGGACTCCTACGTAGTCGACCGTGGTTTGCGTCCTGGACCCGGTGGCTTAAAACTCATGCCGGGCACGTGAGCGTGTGTGTCCAAGATCCTGAGAGGAGGATGGAGGAGAAGGGACTGCAGCGTGACCATCCCCCCTGGGGATGATTTCTCTCTTTCTATCTCTACGTCTCTCTCTGTCTTTCTGGCGAGTGCACAGGCTCTATAGCAAAAACCTCTCCAAAAAAAAAAAAAAAAGAATTTGGATCATGCTACTCCTGTTTAAAAACTTTTATTTGTACTTAGAATAAAATCTCCGAACACTCCATGACCTACGAGTCCCTGCATGATCTGGCCCCATCTCCATGTGGCACACTCTCTACTACCAATCTCTCCCTGGGTCAGTTTGCTCTGGCCATACCTGCCATGTGCTCTAGCTTGAACAGGCCCGGTGCATCCCACCTCGGGCATCTGCACTTACTGCTCCAGCTGCTGACCACTCGCCCCTGGGTCACACTCTGGCTCCCCCTGTAAATGCACCATCTAGATGCTGAAATACTCCTTTCCTCCCCTTTCCATTTCAACCCCCTTTTCCACTGTGTTTTCTTTGTTATACTTAGTAACAGTGAAATAACAACATCTGGTTTTTCATCCTGTGTTTTCACCTCCCAGTCCAGGTGAGCGGGCCAGGAACCCTGTCTAGTGCACTACTGTATCCTCAGCACCTCTGAGTGCCTGGAGCCTAGAAATTGCTAAGAATTTGTTGAATGAATAAATGGGTGATTGAACTACAAGTTATAAGACCTTCATTTTATTCTTCTGGGTCACTAGCCAAGTGAGAGAGTGACAACAGTAAATGCTCTATAGCATTTACTATGTGCTACAAGCATTTTTTTAAAAAAAATCTTTTGTTTGAGGGCATGTATGCTCTCTGTAGAGAGACAGAGAGGGAAAATGAGAAAGCACCCCCTCTACGGGGGAGGGTGGCCACACTGCAATCTTCTCCTCTGTTTCTCAAATTTGGGGCACACATGCACACATACTCAGTGCATTTTCCAAGCTGCCAGTCTGGGGCTCAAACCACACAGTTGGCCATAAGGGATCCAGCTGCCTTAACCACCATACCACCTGGCTGACCCCCGAGCACTGTTAATTAAGTCACTTAATCCTCACCACAACCCTACACAGGTGTACTTTTCAGATGAGAAAATCGAGGCAGAGACAACGGAAGTTATGTGCCCAAGATCACAGAGCACAGGAAGCGGCAGAGCTCGGATCTGCCCTCCAGCAGTTGGGCTCCAAAATCACCGCCACTGGCCACTCCGTTAGAGGTTGTAGAGAATCACGAATGTTCTGAAGGGAAAGTCTTCCAGAGGCCAAATGACTACGGGGCCACAGAGCTGGCGGGGCAGTAAATACTGCTTTCCACCAGAAACTCGGGAAGTAAAAACACTGCTTTGAAATGTGCTATTATGAAATCCATCCTACAGCAATGACTGCAAGGTCTGGACTGGGGAAACGTTTAAGAAATGCTGGTATGGACAAGAATGCCTGTGACCATGCCTGACAAGCCAGTAAAGCACTTTTAGATCTAACCTGTTGCTGGCATTTTACTTCTCAGTGTAATTTGTGCGCATTAGTGTGAAAAAAGACATCCCGGCAGTTCCTGTGGTTGGGTGATCTTTGAACATGGCTGCCAAGCAATGAGGGTGAGGTGCCACTCCACCCCTGACATCCCCAACTTCTATAGTGACACAGCTATGCTCAAAGTACAGTCTTGACTCATGATTAAATTACGTACTGTCTCACTTCTCTGTTAATGTCTACCTTCCCTGGACACCAGGTGTCATGAGGAAGGGGTTTCCATGCAGTTTGTGCTTTGCTGTTTCCCGGCATCTAACATTAGACAAGGCTGGCAGTGTACACACACAGTAAGCACTTGCTCAATTCAAGGAACGACAGGGGCTAAGAGGTCTTCTAGAGACTTCATTTCCTGATTTCAGGGTGAAAAAAAAAATCTTGTTTCTTGAAAGTGCCTATAATAATTTTAGTAATTAACAAGTTTGGGGCTGCTGAAAGAACTGGGGAGGGACTGGCAAAACCTGTAGGCTGGTGTCTCCTTCACAGCTTTCCTCCTTCCAAAGCCTTCCTGATCACTACAGTTGGCATTCATCTCTTTCCTCCTCACGTGTGGCACTTCAGATATTAAAAATAAATCCATCTGAACACTAGATTAGTAATTTCACATGGCTCAAAAATAAAAATGATATCCAAAAGGGTTTATTACCCACTCTCACCCCCAGTAAGCACCTTATTAGCTTCCTGTGTATTTATACATTCTTTACTGTCCAAGTCTATTTGGCTTCTGAGTCCAGGTTGCAAGCAAGAACAGTTCAAAAGTCAGGGATACATCAGAGAATTTAGCCAAAATTCGGTTCTTAAGTTTGGACAGTGAGTCTGGATACAGAAAAGAATGTGTACCT